TTAGAAAACAAGAACCGTCTGTCTCAGCGTAGATGTGTGCTGCGTGTGTTATTTAGCGCGGGGGAGGGAAGGGGAAATCGTCGGAATTATTGTCCTTCACAAGGCCAGCCCAAGCCGGAATGACAGAATTAACCACATAAGGCAGTTGTGCTCTGCAGAACGCTGTCAAGGGTTATTCTCCCACTGCGTTGGTTATCACAGGCTAAGGGTATGGAATACGTTTATTACTGAATGAACCATGTCAGAGTTCAGCAGAGCGTAACTACCAATTGAGGCTAGTTCTGTCATTCCGATTCCGATCGACTGTGTAAGGGATGACTATTGATTTCGATGCTAAGGAAGCATATCTGCTGCGGCATGGAGAGTCATGAATGTTAGGAGATATATTGTCAACGGGAGATATAGAATAGAAACTTCCGAGGGTTTTAAGTCCAAAGCGTATATCAGGTAGCTTTCTATCGGAATTTGGAATCCACTTATTGAGAGCCCCACATTGATACACGCTCGTGTTTCTGAAGATTTTTGAATTGTGTTCAAACAGATACTGCAAGGTAGTCTTATGATATAAGTTGAATCTATGTCATAACTGTTAGACAAATCGTATGTAATTCGGTAGGCGCAGAACACCAAGGCATTAAACTTGAGCAGCTTCATAGGCGAGCAAAAGGGAATGATAGCGGCTCATACATCAATCATACCTGATATATATTGGAACGCGTAGAGTCTGACTAATTGATTCAACTCGGTTAAGCTCTCCGGGCGTTTGACTTGGATCAATATTTATTTCCTTAAGATGAATGTTAGCGAGCAAGGTAAACAGGTTACTGGAAAGACAAAGCCTCACTACCTCAATAATTCTGTGATTGGCAGGGGGAATGGGGGAAGACGAGGCGGATCATAGCTTTTGATGTACCTTGGATAATTAAGCCATGTCGATGATGAGCAGGAAGAGGATGAAGACCTGATGATAGGAGCGTGGAGGACATCCATCAGTACTTACGCTGCTATCGGCCTTCAGAGTGAGTTAAATTATGAAACTCAATGTTCCTGAAACACAGAAGATTTAGATATCTATTGATGAGGGAGATAAAAAGGATGTTGGAAGGCGGTAAGGAAGGATAGACCACAGGACGAAGAGAGAAGGAGAGAGAAAGGCTGAGTTTTGATGTAAGTAAGAGCCGCTAAAAGAACATCTTTCCACATCTTGTGCGTACGTATTCCGCCAGTGCTGCTTTAGGTTATTATTGAGCTATGCCTTTTCGGGGAGTAAACACGCATTGCGCTGCACTCTGGGTTGTACTCTGGGCCAACAAAGGTGTACTAACAGGCTATGGCGTAGTTGTTCATAATGTAGTACTTCTATATATATAAGACATCCTATTTTCTAACTTGGAAAATCGTGTATTAGCTCAACAGATTCTCGTTAGACACAGGGTGAACAGCTAGAAGTAGCTCCATAAGTGTCCCACTGAACTATAACACCCTACCTGTATTATCAACACTCTGTCCCCAAAGACTCTGTTGGTGATATGCTTAAAGAGGAGATCGATTATCTTTAAGTCCCAAGCATGAGCAGCGAGTGTCCTCGCGGTTGGTAGGGAAGAGCCAGTGGAAGATTCAATATGGAATTTGCGTGATTGGGATGCGGATAGGGGGTGTGCGCAATGCAGAGCTATACGTACTGCCCAGAGCGGGAGAAATACGCAGTGTACATACAGGACGATGACCGCAATTACTGTGCTCGATCTTGAACATGGAGCTGCATCTGGGATCTCTGAGGTGAGCCGCAACACATAATTGCTGCCATTGCCTCCGAATACAATGCGATATCCTACATCATCAGGAATCTCAATCCGCTCAGAGCTTAGATGGACTGCTGTACGTATTAACCTCCGAGCATCACTGATATTCCTCCTATGGAACTCACACAGCTTCGTTACCGCCAATGTGGCCGGAGGAGCGCATGATTCTCAAACAGAAGCCCACTACATATTTAAACTGTGCGGAATATATACTTTCGGGATAAAAAAGGAACTCAAATTGGTGACTCCAATGGAGATAAGAGGAAGAGAGAGGAGGGTCAAAACTATCTAAGAGCCGGACAGAAGGTGGACCAATCCACGAAACGCTCTCTTCCCACATTAGCCCACCCCCCGCCACCCCCGCGGAGCATCGCCTCCCATCCATCCTCACCCATTATCACTCCCGGCTACTCGTCTTCGCAGATGGGCACTGAAAATTGCGGCTTTTCCTGTTCCTCCAACAATTTGACGTCGGTAGTCTTAAACACCGCCTATAGCCTTGGCGGCAATGCCTAGATAATACTACCTGTTCTCGTACACAACGTGATGAAAAGGGCCCCTTTGTTGTATTCCCAATGACTAGTACTCGCCCTGTATGTAGGGGGCACCATATGGCTCAAAGAGAGTTGGTAGGGATGGTGGCATACAATAGAAGAAGTAATTGATCAATCAATCGAGCACGGGTGGGGATAATGGAGGCCGAGTGATAGGCCATGAACCTGAGCGATATTCTGGTAAATACATAGTTCGTAATTGATTGTATCGTGTGGGGTGAGAAATCTTCTACCAAGTAGCAATTGAGGGTGATGGGGTCTGAGAGATGTTGAACGGTAGCTCTGTAACGGAAGTATTCAAAGATCCCTGAATAAAAAGCGGCGGTGCAGTTTACTTGGTTCTCAGAATCCTGATAGCTAGACGCCTCACTACACTGAATTTTTCGCGTGAGTCTTTCTCTTTTTATTGTCTCACTGTGATTATTTAATCGTTCCTTTTTGTGCATCAACGTGTGATTACCTGTATGTATGTTGTTGTTGAAGACTGCCGAGTACTAGTGATAATCCATGAATACTCTAAGATGTTCACCAAAATTAACGGATACTGTGAAGGGAGCGAGATATAGTTCAGAGGAGATATGACATAAGAAAGGGACCTTATTCGTTTAGACAGCTGCCGAAGCGGGCACATTTTGTCGCTTTTTCGCCTACAGCAAGCCTACATTTAGGGTAAAAAGTGGAAAAGAAAGGAATTGGTATCTCAAATCCCTGTCCGAATAGCAGTCGCTGCGTATACAGGTCTGTACGCTGGCTGTCTCCTTGAGGCCTTGGAGAGGTTGTAGATTGGAGTGGCAGCCATAAAGGGTTTTGCACCCTTAGTATGGTTGGGTCTCGTTCGACTGAACTATTTACATTTTCCCACTCCACCTCCCTTCCTTTCCTTCACACAGACACATCCTTCTCGGTAGCCAGCTGCAAGAATATCACAACTATCTTGAACTCCTCTGATCTGACATCTCTTGTTCAGCCTTTTGATCCTTGCATCAATTCATCTCATCTTGCATTAACCTCTAGTGCCTGGAGACAATTCGACTGAAGTTCCGCTACCTCATCATCTACTGTTTCCTGTTTCTCCACCTTGACGCAGCTACTGTTGGGGTCGTTCATCAAGATTCTTCCTGTGATCTTACAACAGACTCCATTTACCGTGGTAAAGGTATCAGTCGATAGTGTATATCACGTTACTTGCTTCCTTCTCCTACTTTCATCTTCGAATAAGGCTTGTCGTTTGGAAGCAACACCCGCTCACCATCTTCTGTTACCTCACATCTGTAATTCTCGACGCATCTTTCTATCGAGACCACCAGATCATCTCTTCTGCATTCCACTCTGCTAGCGAGTTAAGGTCACCTCTTTCTTTCGCCCTCAGGATCTACACAGAGCATATTGTACTGTCGTCATAGTTGTCAACCCAAACAACCTGTTGATCAATAAAATTGTCACTACCGCGAGTACTCTTCATATCTATAACTCCTCCAGCTATACCACACCAACAGCTCTTTCCAAAGATAGAACCAGAGACTTACATCAACTGCTTCCTTGTCGAGAAATCCTTGTTGCTCATTTATCATCTCTACCCAAGTGTACCATACCTCTAGGTTACATTGGCACCAACTTCGATAGACTTCATCTACGAGATTGCTTCCATCCCAACCAATCTTTCAACTGCTATCATAGCAAAAAGGTTCACTGATCAGCTGAACTTTTGTCTTTTCGTCAAAAAAGTAGTTCTTTACTTTCACACGCAATCCTTTGCAACTTCATTTTTTCCGCAGACCTGTTACCTCTTCACTTTCAATTCATCATTAAGCTACCGGAATATATACTCAGGGTATCCCTTCCTGGTAGTACCGCTGTCTTCGCGAGAAAGTATCGCCTTCTTTTACACCTCACAGGCTTCGATTGTCAGTTCACTACCAATTTCCTTTTCGGGCTTTAACCTGGACTATCTGAAGTTGAATATATAACAATTTCTTCACTTTTCCTCATCAAGTCTCATTTGAAAGGACTTTGTTTGAAGTGTTCAACATTGGTGCTTTACTACTCTACACCTACATCCCAAGAATTGAAAGACACTATAAGCACAGCCTCTCCCATATTCCCGATCTTTTCAGCAAAATAAGCTCGGCTTTAATCTTACATTGAGGGTTTTAGTTTCAATTGTTCATCAATTTACCAACTTTTTAACTTCGAGGTTATCTTCGCAGTTTGCATAACCGAAAGCTAGGGACTCTGCCTGTTATCATTTTTTTTCAATCAACTCAAAATAAAATCGAATCCGAAGATTAACCATTTTCAAACCACCCACAACACTGCATTGTCAACTCTCTTGAAACTCTATTCAGGAGGTTTATCCCTATTTTAGCTCAAGCAGGAAGTCTACTATTCCACTCTACATTTTTGGTATTAGCTCCCCTCCAGCTCATCTCATTTACAAACACCATCTGTCACACGAACCCTCCTCAGTCACCATAGAATTTATGCCCCAAATCCTTGAAAAGATCATGAAAATTCTAACACCCACCCTCGCAGCTTCACCAGTTCTCACCCAGGACTAGTTTACTTCACTCACTGTGACACCGAGCCCAGTGTTCTCCAACCACCACCAACAATCAAAACCTCTATACTCTCCGCGCCACGAACCATGACGCGCGAACACTACCAAGCTCTCAAACTCGACGGTCAAATCCGCGGAGACTACGTATTCCATGAAGAGATTGGCTACGGCGGCTTTAGCATCGTGCATCGCTGCACGCAGATGACGACGGGAAGAATCTATGCCGTAAAGGTCCTGTGGACAAAGCAGTACACCAATCCTCGCGACGCTGTGAGTTACCCTTCTATATTTCCCTTCTACCGCAATTCGTCTTCGCCCTCCATGGTATGGTGGGCTAACAGTTATACTTGTTCCAGGATGATGTCAAGAACGAAGTGGCGCTCCTCAAGAGGTTGCGCAACACCGGCGGCCCGTTCATTGACATTATCGACGACTTCCAGGAGGGGGATTACTGTATGCACCACGCTTTCCACCCTCTCGTCCATCATATTCATTTCGTGGAGTGTGCTAATATATGACAATTTAGGGTATATCGTTACGCGGTTTGCCGACAAGGGGGACCTTGACAGGAGCCTTGTTAGACATTTCGAAGAGTACGATGTCGCAGACATCATGCTTGATGTGTTCACTGGGCTGAACACTCTACATAATGTCCTAGGCATTGCTCATCGGGGTAAGTTTTCTCTCTGTTTTGGTTTCCACACTTTACCTCTGATCATTCTCTGCTACGTTTCCTATTTCTTCAACGAAACCTTCCTCTACCTTATTTCATCTTTGGCTTGTGACTGTGGCTGATATATAGGACAAACAGACATGAAACCGGAGAACATCTTCCTCCGGACCCGTGGCCCCACCGGTACCACTGCCCTCATCGGTGACTTCGGGCTCTCAGAGCCAATCAATCAAGAGAGGCCGGGCGCCTCCTTCAAATACTGGGCTGGGACACCGTGGTACTGGGCACCAGAGGTGTTCAGAACCCCATATGGACCTGCTGCGTACGTTTCTCTGTCTCTACCATCTCCACCTTTATGAAATTCAATACAGGAACCTTTGCTAACTGGTCAATAGAGACATCTGGGCCACAGGTTTGATCATGTGGCGCATGTTGATCGGAAACTATCCGATCCCAGGCGTCACTGACAGACCCAACACCGCGAAGGACGCCATATACCGAAAGAACGTAAAGGGGCTGCCGGAAAACTGGCTGGAGAAATTGGAGGACGAAGCAGTGTACCTGAGCCAAGCTGGTGTGGTTTTCCTCTGTCTCCCCTTTCGAAATTTCTTATTGCTAGTGTATAGAATATGGGATTGCTAACTACCAACAGCGTGGGACTTCCTGCAGGGCATCTTGCACATCGACCCCATTAGACGAATGACGGCAGAGCAGGCACTGGCACACGAGTTTCTCGTCGATGCCCGCGCTGCTCGTGACAAAGACTATCCACCTCAGTCGCCTACACTATCGTCTGCATCATCGGTTGACTCATCAGCTGAATCACCGCTGCAGTCTGCTGTTCGCGCCTCTGCTCCCTCCCCCTCATCATCCACTGCTCCTTCAGTCGGTAGCCCCCGGGTGTCTTCCCACTTTACTCCGTGCAATCGGGAGGTGGATGAAGACTACGACGTGGAGGACGAAGAAGAGGAAGAGAAGGAGGAAAATGAATATGTGTTTGAGCATGAAGAGAAGGTGGAGGAGGAGGAGGAGAAACAGGTCCCGTTCCACGCCCCCGTTACTCCAGCGACCATAAGCCCAACGACAATCGCCGCGCAGGCCCTCTTGATCCTATCAGAGCTTCCAAAGGCCATTGTCTCTTCTCCTCGCCGTGTGGCTTCACCAGAGCGAGTCATCATTGACCTAACCACGCCTGTCCGCGACGACCGCACAGCAGTCCGCAAGCGCAAGCGCACCCAACGAAAGGTGACACCAAAGGTGCACCACACTCGTGCTGTGGCTGCAAAGGAGACGGGGGTCATGGTTCCTGCAGCTACAGTTCCACCAGCTGTGGTAGTGCCTTCTGCAGCTGTGGTCGTGCCTTCTGCGCCAAAGGGAAAAAAGATGGTTAAGGAAAATACTGCACCAAAGGGTAAGAAGGCTGTGCCTTCAATCCCTGAGATGCAGGAGAAATCGGCGAGACAGTTGAGGGCGGAGAGAAGGGCGAATAGGGAGGTGATTGTTGCGCCTAGAAAGGGGAAAGGTAGGGTCACCAAGCGTTGAGCTTGGGGCCCAGTACTATTATGTATATTCCTTTACGAAATTATATATCTTATAACTTGTTTTATATTCTCTCTTCTCTTCTTTTTGCATTCTTTGTATTGCGCCTTGTATTTTCTGCGCTGCGTAGACGTGTATATTAGAGGTATTGTCGGTTTCCATCTTCAATTTTTGATATCAATGTTGGTAATTTTTGTTCTTTCTCCAAAATGTGTTCAAAATAATTGCTCGTAGTTGCGCCTCTTGGGTTAATGCACGAAGGTTGTCGTCAAAACAAAACCGGCTACAAAATCATTTCCCCTGGCGCGAGAACCCAGCCCTTCTTATACCCAACACGGCTTGGCAGCGACCAGATCTCCGAAACCCATTCGGACATCAACACGTCACCGATATGCATCATTCTGACCACATCACACCATAGCGCAATTACCGAATTATTACAAGGGAAGGGGATGAGGTAGTCTCCATGGGCTCTCCCGCGGGTCCTGCAGGGCCTTTCCCCCTCCACTTTGTTTTGTGACATGTTTATGTTTATATAATCAGAGCAAAGAACACACAATCTCTGTAAGTGATATTCGAATAAATCGTTTCTTTCACCCATCAGTAGATTTCGTGGTGCGGTAACTCCTGGCTGTCAATCGCGCTACCAATGGTCAGCCCAGCTGCAGGAAAGTCACCGCAAAGAGCGTAACAACGAAAACAGACAACAACAAATTTTTCTTACCACATCTCAGCATATAACAGCATAGTCTACGTCCACAGAACCCCGCTACCAAGTAATGCCATCCTCGCAGAGTAAGAGGAGACACCTGGGAGAGTATGCAGCTACGCAACCTACCAGACATCTAAATGCATCTTTTGATGCATCTTGTTCTTATATGGGTAAACCCGTCCGAAAGTCGTATTTTAAATGTGTTACTTTTAATATGGGTGGAAATGCATCAATAATGGATAAAACAATGAATCTTTTAATGCATCAATTAATGCATCAATTGATGCATTAAAAGTATGTATTTACCTGTTACATACCCATAGCGGTAATAAAAACAAAAAGTGAGCGTTGGGGGATTTGAACTAGAGCCAATCTCTCAACCATTCAATGCCCTATCTACTACACCATGGATGAGGATGGTATTTTATCATTTGTAGAGTTAATGAATGGAGGATGATGAGGAAGGTACATTGCAATGTCGTTATTTGATCGTTAAAATGAATACCAAAGTCGTATGTGATCCAAAACTGTAAAATAAGGACCCATAAGTCGTCCATTAATCGTTTCAAAATCGTTTGTCAAGAAATAATGCATCAGTTGATGCATTTCCAAAACACCCCCACGAGCAAATGCATCAAATAATGCATCAGGTGACCCATTTACAAATAACGTCCCGAGTTAATGCATCATTTGTGCCCTTTCCTCGTCGGTTTTGTATGGGCAATGTGCAAATTGATGTATTAACATGTCTGGTAGAGGAAGTATATATATATTTTATCGTTTCTGGTTACATTTTAAGCCAGGTTTCGAGGGGGGTGGCTTCGGGGCTGTATTTTCTGTGGGAGGCTTTCGAGAGGAGATGATACATTCATGTATTCTTACCAACATAGACAGGCGGATCAGGCGAATGCTCATATGCGAAGATACCTGTAATAATTTGTGTGCTTGGGTTCTAGTCTAACGTTATTAACATGTATATCTTACACCCATAACTTTTCATTTTTTTCTCGACCTCCCACTCTATGCAATTAATTCTCTCAAGTTCCGGGTGGAGTGCTCCACACGTGTACATTGATGGAGATGCGCAGCGTGCTCTTTTGCGGCAAGAATTATATCTTGAGAATATTTTACAGCCCCTATAGCAGACCCGGGGGAAAAAGCGCCGCTAGAAATAGAGGAACAAAATCTTGCGGAAAGAAGGCGGGACGTATAGTTCTAGGACATAAATCATCGTATGGGGCGGCGTAGTAACGGGTTTCGACACCTCCTGTCCCATCATGACTACCCACCCAACAACTACAATTGACCCTTTGGAGAGCTGTTTTTTTTATAGTTGTTCAATAGTAGCTAAATAAAGATGATTGGACATTTAATATCTTGTATACCAACCCCTTGCCTTTATAACAGCTCTATTCTCCTATGCATGCTCTCAACTAGCTACCAAATCTCTAGACACTAAATCATCAGGTAACAGTTCCCAGCAATGAATTAGACCTTCCTCCATGAGGGGCTTCAATACTTAAGGTGATCTAGTATCATATCCCAAATGGGGGTAGTGTTGATGGTAAAGCTTCTTGAGATGTACTCAAACATGTTCAATGGGATTTAAGTCAGGGGAATAGGTAAGCTAGTCCTCCAGAACATCTACCCCACACTCCTCCAACCGCTGAGTTGTAAGGGTTGTGGTGTATACCTTTACAAACTTAATACTTGTAGGAGCATGGGGTACACTGTCTCTGGGCGCCATCGGTGGTTGTGGAAAAAACTTGTGGTCAGGCATTGCAGTCAGGCGTTGCGGCGTTGCGACCTCACACCTTCCAACGATTTATGGCATCGCGCTGTACATACCTGCAAGGTAAACGCCATCCCTCTAACCTACCATGCCACTTGAAAAGCTGGCCTGTTTGACTTCCCCTAACCCAGCGGCTAAAACATCCAACACTATGTCGCCAAGGGCAAAAACTTAGGGTAAACACTTATACCTAGTTTTGAGACGTGGTTCTATATAATAAACGCCTGTTTCCCATCTCTACTGACTACCACACGTCACCCCGCCCTCAAAAAGAGATGGGGAAGACACGACATACCACCTACCTCTCAAGCACTAGAGTCGGGAGGCCTCCCAGGGCAATGGCCCTATCTTGGAAGCGTCCTAACTCTACTGCTTAAGTAGTAGGTGGGTACTATGTTTTAGTGTTGGTTGTTGGGAACATGCTGGCTAGTGTGGCGTGGGTGTTATCGGGGCTTGTCCCTCTTCTCTTTTCTAGTGGGGAGAGAAGAGGAACTTCAATTATTTTAGCTTCTGGGCCCCCTCCTCTGTCTCTCCACTTTCTTTTTCTTTTTTGAGGAGAGGGGAGGGTCCTTTTTTTTATTTTTGTTGTATTTTTCCCATCTTTTGCAATTGGGCCTCCCACTCTTCCTTGTGAAGAGGGGGGGCCTTTTTGGCGTTAGGCCACCCCGCCCGCGCTGCCCTCTCTCCTTCACAAGGAGGGGAGGGGCCCGAGACTTTTGCGTTAGGTTGCCCTGGCCTCTTAGACCCTCGGTGATACCGAGGGTCTCGAAGGTGTGGATGGCCTTTTATGTCTTGTTATCCTGCCCTCTCCTCTTCAAAGGAGGAGAGCGTTTTTTTGCGTTAGACCCATCTACCTATGCATGATTTGGGGGATCTGTGTGTTTGCTTGCCCTCTCCGTCTTTGTATGAAGGAGAAGAGTGCTTTTTTACATTGGCCTCTCTCGTTGGTTCGTGCAGACGCTGTGGGGTCTTTGACTCTTCTTGCCTGCTCTTAGTTAATTTGAAATATGGGCCGAAGGACCTTCCACGTTTGCGGTCCTTCCCCCTTTTAACTTAGACGAACTTCGAGAATAATTTTCTACCCTCCCCATTTAGTGGAATGTGAAATTGACCTTCATGTACTTTAAGATCCCGCTCGCAAAAGCGCCCTCTTATATTCCTATTTGAAGGAGAATATAGCTCTACGTAAGCGATCCCGTATCTGCTGGGCTTTGGATCGTAAGCGTGTGGTACTATAGTCCTAATAAGTACACGTTTGCTGGACTATTTCCCTCAATTCTCTATAGATGTGAGTCATGACCCTTTGCCTTTACAGTCACCTCTCGATATAAGGATATGGTCGGGACCGAAAATCTCCGTTGAATATATTCTTATAAGGCGAGTATCACTATAATAAGTAAGGAGATACTGGTAAAAAGGTATTTCGGGACCACCGATTTCTATCATTATAACGAGAGTATCACTATATGAAGTATCACTATAAAGAGAGTCGACTGTATACCATTTCTTCATCCTCCAGCCATCACCAGCTCGCTGGTATACCTATCAGCTCAAAATAATCGCACTTTAGTCTTATAGAACTAGCCTTTAAGTGTCCTATTCTTTTCTGGATGATATCAAGAAATGTGAATTGGCTGAGCTATGCCTTTAAGATTATTTCAGCGCCGTACTTAAGGCCTCAATATTCCAGCCGTTGAGCGGTAGGTCCTGATACTTCTCTCTTACCCGTCTACGTAAAGTACCAATATTTAATTACTACCTACCATATGTTTCCCATCACAAAGATCAAATCATCCTTAAAGGTACTATATCATGAGGTGATTGTATTCTCGCCGAAACTTGCTAACAGCCCTTCAGCTTCCTGTTCAATTGCAATTTCCAATCTTTTTCGATAGCTTGTCCGCTAGCTTCCTGAATGTGATTAATCTGGCTTGGTCGACGTATCGTCTTTATTAACCTCTTTCGATGTCTCATTTCCTTACAATTTCCGCCCAAACACCTCCGAGCCAAACACATCTCCCACCACCCCTACCTGCAGTGCCGCAGTGAGAGAAACGGCGCAGAGAGTACACCCCGAAGCCACAACGGCCTAGAAAGTAGCCTACCTGCGAGGAACACATAATTCATGACAATATCTCTTGATCACGGTTTTGAGTTGTAAAACGAAACCTTGTCAAGTATCGTGATCAGAACAACAGGAGCGGAGAAACTAAACATTCTGATTTTTTGGCTGCTTTACTTTACTATCCAGGCTGAATCTAACTGTTTCTGTTCTTTTACCATCATTTTGCCCCCTCAAGTGTTGTCGACGAATATTCAAGCATCTAAACTTAACATGAACCTTTCCACCCACGAAACGGGCATTTTCGTGCAAAATTGCAAGCAGGTATTTGGCATTGGTGTATTCCTAGCTCACACTACATCTACTCCCTTTTGATGCACATCTTCGAGTCCGTCATTCTTGTAGTTCTAGACCTTATCCTACCTGCATGGACTACTAACATACACGTTGACCTCTAATTAGCATCAAATATTGTGGTAGAGGCTAGCTAGTGGATACAAGTCAATTCCGGCCTCTGGGGGGCGAGCATAACGGGAACAAAACCTGGGGACTATTATTACCATATTAGGGGTATTGCCATCACCGTAGAGTTGCATGCAATTCATGAATTAAACAAACAAAAACTATATTAGGGGTGCGCTCTTACCACCCTGGTAGGGGAGTTTCTTACGAGGGAGTTGTACTATTATTATACTTCGAAAGCGGTAAATTTATCGAAAATCACCAGAAACCAGATGTACCATAATCACCAAAATACATAACAAAACCTATCAAGACCACACAAAATATATCAATCACCGGATAACAACCCCGGTCAGCAACATAACCTTTCCTTCTACATGACCCACCTTATTCTACAGCTCTACAAAAACGTAAATACCAAAAGCCCAGACAGTCAGGACCTCCAAAATACATCCCGCAGTCTACAATTGGCCTAACCACTAACATCTCTAAGCTTTTTGGTTCCGCGGATGATTGACCATCCCCCCCAGTATGTAGTGACCCAAGCCCCGTTGCCATAGGTGGTCTATGCACCCTGATTTAGGAAACTTATCACAGTAGCGGGAGTTCCTAGCTAGGCCTGAGTTCAACGCCAATTTTAATTTTTCTTTTTTAATTATTTTCTACCTCACCTCCATCTTTTCAAATTGGGGGTGAAGGGATAGCCACATGGAGCTAACTTGGTAATTCTTTTATTCAGGGCCGGTCTTGCAGGCTGCGGGGTGTATTCCCAAGGGGTGTAATTAACAGTGACCATATACCTATTTAAATTTCCTTTTTCTTTCCCTTTTCTTTTTTTTCTTTTTTTTCCTGGGGGGGGGGGTCCTGGACGACACAATCACATCAAACACCGGACACAACACGCCCAGACTCAGTCTCTCTCATACTGAGCCTCAAAATATCGATTTCCCCAGAAATACAACAGTCTCTGACTTAGTTTTTAGTACGCACCACCTAGACCTTGCAGCTACTCGACCTCTTACCACAGGTTATAATAGGATAAGATTGTTGGCGCCAACGGGGTATACACCTAGGAAACTAGAGAGCTACACCAAAATACGCTCTTACTTTCACTTCGTTCAAGAACTAATTTATGTAGGTGTACTTGTGGAGAACGGACACAGTGAACCAAGCCACGACAGAGGACTGGCAGGGCACAGGGACCACGGTGTCCTCACTTGCCAGATCTGACTCCATTTTTCATCAGAGATTACGTTGAATGAGATTCTAGGAGTCTCCGGCGGCCAATAGACATGTAATGAGGAAACGGTATTGGTTCGGCATCCCCGAACTTGGTATGGATGGGTGGTTCAATGTCTCTCCTATTCTCCAATATCCACTCGATCTATGATTCAATCACCCATGATACCTAGGGAAACGTTTCCTTACCAGTCTTACCCTGTCCAGGCTGAAGATATTGTCGGGTTACAAAAATAACTACGCACTAACGACAACCACCAACCGTCAGAGTAGGTATATCTCGACAGTCACAATAGATATGAGAAAGATGGTTTTATATCTATGAATCTAGAGAGTTAGAGAACTATATGTAGCACTCTTGTCCATGGCCGGAATGAAACGGATTGAGAATCGTGTCTGCTATGCGGGGTGTTTAGTTATTTTTGTAACCTGGCAATACCTCATATATCGCCCCCTTCGGAACTCGGGGGTGGCCGGTATACACAACAGTCCTGGTAGCATACATTTATGGTCGAACCAAAGGCTGCCTAACCATGACGAAGAAAATTATACAATATTTTGTTAGATCTGCAGCATCTTACTTACTCTACAGCATTGGACGTGAAGACAGAGGTTTTGAAAACTCGGTGGCGTTCGGGTGGGAGGTGCGCTGGGGTACTTGTACCTCCCTTTATTTGGGGAATATATATATTCTTTTGTGCATGCACAGATATCTACCCGGACATGCCAGTTCCTGTGCATGTGGCCATGCAAGTTCATGTTGCCACCTCATGTCTGCAAGACTACGCCATACTCACGGCCAAAGTGCTCAAACTGGATGTATTCCCCTCAACTAAACGACCGATATTACACATCAGTAACTAGCAATAACCAGACCAGAGAACAAAACCACCCAACCAACGAGGACATCTCTCACACCGTCCCCTCCCTCACCCTCACACTCGCCCTCACGACCTTCGTATCCACATCCAACAGCCCATACACCGCCGCCAGCTGCGGCCACATACTCCTATTCAGCAGCATCTCCTCCTTATTAAGCACCAGCAGAAGAATCCCATCCGTGCGCAGCGCCCGCCGCCGTATCATGTCACACACCCTCCCCGGCGTCCCCGACACGATATGGGGGCCCTCCGACAGCGAGATCTTGTCGTCCTGGATTGCCGTGCCGCCAACGCAGGCATACGTCGTTATGCCGAAGTTTGCGCAGCGCGTGGCCAGCAGCGTGTGCACGAGCAGTGCGAGATCGCGTGTGGCGGAGAGAATGAGAACTATACACAGACGTCAATACCCAAAGCAAAACCACCACGACAAGCAAACCGGGGATGTAAAGATCTTACCCTGCGTCTCCTCAACCTCCGTATCAATCTCAGCCAACATGGCATCCGAAAAATTGACCCTCTTCGTCTTCCCAATCTCCTCCGCGATCCTCCTCAGCGCCTCTTCTACCCTCGTATCCTCCGCGCTGATTTCCTTGACAGGAAAATTTGGGCTCGTCATGGGCTTCCCCCAGCCCGACGCCGGCAGCGCCTCTACCTCCTCCGGCGCCTTGTACACCTGGCGCGTATGGTTCCCGTTGACGGCGTGCATCCGCAGTGCCAGCGCCGACTTAAACACCTTCCTATCCACGCAAATCTCACACGCCAAGCTCTCCTCGCTGGCCGGCACATCTTCCGCGGCTGTTGTGTGCGCCTTGGTGTGGTGGAACACGGACGCGAGGTGGTGACGCAGTGCGAGCTCGGTGCTGAACGGGCGGTCGCACTTGTAGCAGACCGGCCAATCTGTGGTATCCGGGGGCTCGGGAGTCTCGAAGGTCTGGACAAGCTTCGGGAGGACGGCTGGTGAGATGGGCCTGGGGGCATTTTTGATGTGCTTCCGCTGGTCGATCGGGAGCTCTTCTGGCCGGAGAGACATGGCGAGGAGGAAGAAAGGGTGCGTGAGAAACGACATGATGCTTGGTGTAGTGGCTGTCCGGGGGAGAGGAAGGGAGAATGGAGAGCGCGGGGAGGGGAGTGATATAGAGAGTTGTGGTTGTCGCGGGGTGGTGGGGCAAGCATGCGTGCTTCAGGCAACCACAGCTGTTGCGTCCGCGGTGAGGCGACCAATCAGAAGCGCGCATCGGGACGTGCATGCTGTGGGGGGCCATCTACAGCAATGTGATGGTGATGAGCATTGGTGCAGCGAGGGCTGTGCGGTGTGCTTTTGCAAAGTGAGAGTGGGTGGAGATATGTTAGGTGCGGAGGGGACGCTGCGTCATAGGTTCTCACTCGGCGTCCCTTCAAGTGGTTGGCTGTTGGCAAGCACTGACGAATCTCCTATCGTGGGAGTAGACACCTCTGCCGCCGTAGAGATACAGTATCTCTCGCGCGACAGCATCAGATGGAGCCAGCACTGGGCACAGCCCATAGTGTAGCTAAAAGGTTGGAGAACGGTCCGCAGTAATACTGGACGAAGCAACAGCGGCGGTAGCCGCGTTTATGGATCGCGGTAGCTTACTGTACCTAGTTAGTACCCATAAATGCACTTCAATCCAGCAGAGTATACACAAGGGAGAACGGACTTGTATAAAAAATATTCCATTCCTTTCATCATATAGGTACATAGTACCCTGTGACAGAGAGCCCAAGAAGGATCCCCGCCGTAAACAACAGGGCTAATGGACCAATTAGCGTTTTCTCCTCCACATCTTTGGTCTTATAGCATACCCGCTTTAAACGAAGTTATCTGCCCTGAATGCTCGAAGCGAGTAGGAGAACGCCGAACGAGATCTTCCAGGCCAGCCAGCCAGCCAGCCTCCGCGAAAACCTACGAAACACCGCGCCCCCCCTAACGATAAGAAATCGAGCCTTTTCAGTCTGCTCGGTCATATCGGTTCTGTAGTCAATCCTCGTTTAAAGGCCGAGGCGGCAACCTACAGCCAGTAGAGGATATCAGGCTGCTGGTGATGGAGGTGCTTCTCTCTCTGGGGTTAAGAAGTGCTGTGGCTCTGAATGTTGCGATGCTGGACGAAAAGAGTGATGATGATTGTGGTTGGAATCTTCTAACACCTGTTCCGCTCCCGCCCCAAAACATCCGACCACAACCCTAACCCTCACCAGTCTGCCGGGCCAGATCTCACTATGAATCACCAGGACCAGGAAAGGAATAAACACCGTGCAAAACAAACACAACACAATACATTCCCGACCAGAAAGCATTATTTAGATTTTATCTTCATAAACAAACTTTGACCTCTTGACCGGCCAGACCCCCCTGGTATACCTGAGTATTACGGCGCGCGGTAAAGGGAATAAATACATATACAGAAGGATCGAGCACATCCCACCAGAAGTCGATCTTGAACTCTTAAAATATCTAATATGGAACATGCATCAAGAGCTACCGCCTCTCCTTCTGAACGAAGACCCTATATGTCATCCCCAGTGAGTGATATCACTTCTTCCCTCCAGTAACGTGTCTCCCATATCCATATGCCGTCCAACTCCACCTCGTCTTCCAGCCTCAAATATATGACTTAACCTTTAGATCTCGGTAACTAGGAACTCCACATTCAGTCTCTGGATCTGCTAAGACTGGTCACAACCAACCTTCTCTCCGCCGAGATGCCAAAATCAGCAGAATGGGCCGATAGCTTGAAGAATATGAGTTTTCAATTATGATTAAGATATATTATAGCTTACATCAATCTTCAACGAGCTCAGACATCCCGCTAGGTACACTCTCAAGTAAAATTGAGCTAGAGCTGTTCAAAAAAATAACAGAACCAAGGACGAACATAAAAATACCAGCCTACCCTCCCAATCTAAACCCCATAACAAACGAGAACCACGCCCAAACCCCCGCCACCGCAGAAACCAAACCCAACTCAAAGAGCAAAAAACACAGCAACCCAAAACCCACTCCAAAACCCCCGGCTTCTTATCATGCACTAGCCCCTCATCCCGTTACGAGCTCTAGTAGACCTAAAGGTCTTCACACTGCAAGCATCTCTGATGATGGCAACTCCTGCAGCGCATTGGTCTCACGTTATTATTCTGTTCATTGCACATGCAGCACTCCCAGCCAGTGCCTTTACGGCCCATGTGGGTAGGCTCGTTGGCTTTGGAGGGTATGTTTGTGGTGCACGTCATTTTCTTTTCCTTGTTTTGGTGGTGGAGTTAGAATATACGGCAATGGAGGTGGGTGGCAGTGTGTGATGGGGCAAGGAGGAGGAGAGTTGGGGGTGGGGGAGATGGGGGCCCGGTGCGTTTAGCCGAACATGATTCCGGGGTGAGCCAGGGGAGGTTGATACTGAGTCGTAGAATTAAGCAGGCTAAAGCTATGATACGATAGAACATGTCGTGCAACGATATATTGGTAGTAGAATGGCCACAGGTAGACCCATATTCGACAATGGGCAATGAATACACTTTTAATTATGAGACATGATTGGACATAGAAGAACTACCGGAAGTACGAATTGTGCAACCTAATTAGCAGAAAGGTGCTTGCAAGTTGTACCACTCTGCTTTTTCTTGTCAGCACACTGTCGGTACGACCTATGACGGCTCGCAATTCATACTGCGCCTGTGGTTATGCAACGCCCGCCAAGCTACGAGTGACAGCTCATGATTACGGCGTCACTAACCTTCAGACCACATTTCGCCGAGCATGTCGCCAGCATCTTCAATGGCGGGGACCCTTGGCATCTCTTGAGGCATAATCTCCACATAGGCGGTTTCACTAGCGAGTAAAAAGTAGGGGTACCATAAGCTTGTCCATGCGAATCTTCCGATCCTGATGATTTCCTAGGGCGTGTCACAGATGCGCGGAGGGAGTTGGAATTGCTGGAGAAAAGTGATAACATTTCTACTCAGGATGTATCTACTCGGGATATTCTATATCATTATCCGCCGGTTGCTACGAGCGGAGGTGCTGTGATGCGCGCTAGAGATCGCCGCAGATCATTGGGAGGTAAATGCATTGAAATAAACAATTTAAGGACTTCATGTAAGAAAATGGCAACCGGTAACATTGAAAGACTAGTAAAACTAGACTAAAAATCATTATCAGAACTGGAAAACAACATAAGGGATCACAGCAATAACCGTATGCTTCAATTATTATTCCCCTCCAACTAATTAATTTGTCCTCATGACAAAGCAATACAAGATCACCTTACGAAAGGGTATCCGCCTCTTGCGCATCTCTCTGCAAACCGTATTCATCAAAGTAAAGCTACCATCACCATGATCTGCCGGAGCCAAATCATAGTCTCCGGGCAAGCTCATGTTCCCGTCACGGGGATTTACTTTGGTTTGTTCTTGCGCAAAAGGTCAAGAGCATCCTCGCCCGCCCGCATGCGTTCCTTCACCATCCGGAGCCTTTTGCGAACGCCAGGCCGATCAATTGTGCTCCCAGGTGGAGCCACATTCACCATATCTTTAAACATGTTTGCGAAATCACGATACCCTTCCATTTCCGCGTCCAAGAAGAGTTGCAACTCCTTCACCGGGCATTCACAGGTCAGTCGTCTCTTTTTATAGTTGATTTCGTAGCTTTATGATCCACTACCTTTGAGTCGTTGCCCTCATCAGATGAGCTCTCTTTCTTTTGGTTCCCCTGTCCCTTCCCCCTTCTCCTTCTCCTTCTCCTTCTCCTTCTCCTTCTCCTTTCCTCCTTCTCCTTCTCCTTCTCCTTCTCCTTCTCCTTCTCCTTCTCCTTCTCCTTCTCCTTCTCCTTCTCCTTCTCCTTCTCCTTCTCCTTCTCCTTCTCCTTCTCCTTCTCCTTCTCCTTCTCCTTCTCCTTCTCCTTCTCCTTCTTTCTTAACTCAGCTACCTTTTCTATTAGCAGTGCTTCCAGTCTCTTCTCCTCTTCCTTGATTCCCTGCTCTATGACTTTGACTCTCTCCTCGTGGCGTTTATCGATGTCATTGCGGATAAAATCGTCGTAGGGCTCGTCAAAAATGTGCTCGTCATAGAGTGGGCATTGCCCCTGGTTGTTGCGGGCGAGCACTTCAGCGATGGTTGGTTTAGGACGCTTCTCGGCGGAGAGTTCGTCGGCCATTCTAAGATCTGAAACATGTTAGGATCGAGACTCTGGTTGTACTGAAGGGGGCGCACATGGAGAGATTTATCGTTCGAGATATTATTATCCCTAGAGGTCCTGTTTCTTTTGATGAAACCTGGCGGTTGGGGATGAAATGAGATGGGGGTGGAGATGTAGATGACTTTCGTGTATGGGAAGAGTAACGTCCTCTTCTTGTTGACGGGAGTCCCATAAAGCGTCATCTTTGTCATAAAGCCACCTCTCTATAACTTCAGCAACGCGTCATTAAACTCCAGCCCTGTCCTACGAACTTCGGCTCAGCGTGAATCCCATAGGGTAACACACGGTACAAAAAAGACACGATGCAATTACATGCAGGCACCTAGAACCACACAGGTTTATTTCAATGCGCTTTTCTCTTTCCGCCGTATTTCGACTGGTATGAATTGTTGTTGAAGAAGACGAGGATAACCGATCTACATTATATTGAGGGGTGTGCTTCATAGCCTATCACTCGACTTCTCTCATCAGCCACATCGCAGAGGAATCCCAAAACGTGTCCTACGTCGATGAGAACAATGCACCTGTTACTCTTGAACCATCCAATAACCAGCGTTCCTACCAACGACTACACAGACCAGCTTTCGGGAGTCGTCTCACACTCTTACTCCGGATCAACACTTCCCCGCGTATTTTGCGGCAGCAGTAAAAGGGCACATAGGCTATCTTATGGCATTCCTGCATTACTTGATGTTGTTTTGCCTTAAGTTGATGGTATGTGGATCAAATGAAAAGCGAGTTTCCATTTTGCTCGGGAATCATGATCTCTATCCAGATCCTACTGTCCCTCACCCCATCACCGGACAATACTGCGGCCGGACCGGCTTTCAATCCTGTGAGAATATTACTCGACACATTCTAATAATCCCTCGATAGTGAAGCAATTTATTCTACAGATGTTCTGCTGATATTGTAGAAAGATATACAGGATATTATAAGGCCATGCATGAATCGAGTAAGCTTATGCGTATTCTTTCTCAATCCTAAGTGCTTCAGGAAGGAAAGTTATATATGGAACACTATGAGCAGTGAGCTTATATCGGTATATTATGATCCATAAGGGTACTACATTTAATAGACGATGCTGAAAAGATATTGGGAACAGGTGACCTTCTACATTAGACGCCAATCCAATACAAAGAACATCTCTTCTCAACTTGGTCTAATTAACCAAAATAAAGTCCTCGCCGCCAGCAGTAACCCAGGAAATCAGCCACATTAATATTAACACACACCCCCCCCCCTCTCTTTCTCTCCCGGGCTTTCCCGGAGAGCGTTAAACTTACCGGGAAACCTTCTCAACCCAGCCCTTCAACCTTCGCCCAAGGCGCCTGCTCAGCTTCATTCTATCGCACATCTTCAGCTGCGCATTAACTCTCTCTCTCCCCTCTCTTATCTCCACAGCAGTCCTCTCTCTTCCAAGCCTCTCTTTTTCCGTAATCTGTGGGACAGGTTGTTCTTCAGGGTTCTCAGAAACACGGCCTTTGCCTTTATCGCCGGCGGATGTGATATTTTTGGTGAAAGGGACGGTGATGTACATGTTCTTATGATTGTTATAGGTTCTTGGCGTCTAGGTTGGTGCTGTTTGTGGGTCTGGGTGGTGAATATATGTGGGAGGCTATATATGGTTGGTATGTTCGGATGGTTCAATAGTATAGGCTGCTGGCGGGTACAAGTCCTCGCCCTTAATCGTACTTCTATCCGAGGTTTGGGAGTATAGAATTCGGGATCGGATGTTATACAATATTGCCAAAGACATCGATGGAGGAATGTTGTGGTACGTGAGAGTTGACAAGATTTCGATCTTGTGCATGTAGAAAGACTAAGAGAAAAGAATTTGTTTGCCAGGCTACTAATTAATCAAGCACAGGCGGGCTGTTAAGAATTAACTGCTAAAATGTACATGTGAACTGTGGTACAGGCCTCCACCCTTCACCAAGCTCATAACAGATAATTAGTAATATTAAAACCAATAAATATTCATATATATACGATCCATATAAAGCTTAAGGGCTCCAGAAGAAGATAATATACTTAAGCCACCAATAATAACACTGCTATAACTACAAAAAATACAACCAAACAGAGACCAGCTTGGGTACGTACGTAAGACACCGACAGTATCCCGAATCACCCACCTCACCCACCACACCCCGGCACACCACACCACACCCCGGCACACCACACCACACCATAATCACCTCCGACCATCCACAGCCTCCAATAATCTCTTTCTATCCTCTAACCTCCCTTCAGCATCCCCTTCACGCAGAAAATTGTACAAAATGCTCTCGCAACCTTCTTCTTCCTTTGTTCCATCCTAGCCCTCTTGGCCGCCTTCAGCTCCCGACTAATAGACTGCCGATACTGGATCTCGGCGATGGAATAGAGCGCTGCAGAATCCACCTCCTCATCCTCGGCGTCTTTGTAGATAACCTTCGACTCAACCACCACAGCTTCACGTCTGGAGAGCGAGGATCCATGAGATGTGGGCGGACGGACCCAAACAGTCTGGGGAAGCTCGGGTTCGGCATCTTCGGAGATGATCTCTGACTCAACTTCAACAACTTCAGTCTGAGAGAGAGAGGTTCCGTGTGACGGTGGCCTACTACATTTAGGTAAAGGGGGAAGAGGTCGCTGCAAGCGGTTGAACGTTAGTTGCAGGGAGGACTCGCAGGTCGAGAGGGGATATAAGATACCGAGTAGTTGGGGAGTTCTTTGATCATTGTTTAGGATATGTTATTGTGCTGCCTAAGTGGGTGTGATAGGGTGATATGGCTCTTGCTACTCTGACAGATGAGCTGTGATTTATGGTGGCACCGACTGAGCTAGGAAATAGTAAGGGGAGTACGAGAGGGATTCTAATTATAGAACACATATCCGTCTTTCAGCCAAGATATCAGACGTATCCTCATGGACTCTGACGACTGGCTGACATTGTCACACAGGACCTCTCTACAACATCCACCGCAGGTCCGGATATACAAGAGGAAACATCCTTATTTCTTCCTTAACGGAGTATTTAATATTAGGATATCCCGATATAAATCATGGCCTGAATTCGAGATCATTCTGCATTAGCCATGCTCAACTCTCGATACCTGGAGCTTTGCTCTTGTGCCTTCATCAGTGTTGGTATACTATCTGTCAGTATGAAAACTGTGCGTACAGTGATCTGAGCAAAGGGTGGAGAAGTGAAAGGGCTGGTTCTAACTTTGAACTCTCACACCTCCAATCCCCAGTAGAGTATTCAAACAGCCTAGATCGCTAACCTTCTATGTGAAAGTATATAGAGTGAGCTCTCCTTCAATCTCTGGTTCCCCGGGATACCCACTGGAGGAGAGGACCAACCCGAATATAGAAATCTCTGACTCATCCACCGTATAGGGTACAGTTTGCAGCGCAGTCTTTGAGGAGAGGCGTCCCTAAGCTCTGGCCAGTGAGAACCTTCAGTTTCTCCCACAAAGTAACTGATAGGTAGGCACCAATCATATCTGTATATCTCTCTTTTTCTGTGCTTCATAGGCATACACACATCGGCCATCTTATGTCACTGACTAGGAATTGAATGGGTTCACCATTACCTAGTAGGATAAAAGAAGCTTAGTTAAGCCTCTAAATCATTAACCATAAAATTCTCAACACGGCCGAATAAACACGACCAAATAAACACAAGCAAAACAACCGCAAATAAACATCACTCTCCCAAAGACCATGGCATCATCAAGCAGATCTGGAAGAGCACCAGCTAGACAAGACCGGGGCGGCCAACAAGAGGAATACTGCGACGAGCTTGTCTATGATATTCTCAAGAAGATGAACCAATTTAAGACTGACATCAAAGAGGATATGGACTACTTAAAGGGGCGGGAGGTAGACTGGGTAGATTGGGAGGCAGAGCGCTATTCGCAGGGCACAATTTACAACAAGCTAACCAAAGAAGTGGGCGACGTGCAAGAGATCCTTGATTCTACGCCGGGGTATAGCAGTCGTGAGAGTGCTAAGAATAAGATAATCAGGAAGCACGAAGAGGTCCTGAATGCTCAGAAAAGGTTTAACCAGCTTTGTGAGAGATATTTGCCTCCTAGGCGCTAGATTACTGGTGGGCGTATATCATTTTCTTTGGCAATGTTAGTGGTCTAAGTTGGGTCACAGTGTTTGGTTTTTCGTTTATTAATTATGTGTCCTCAAGGTATCTCTACCAGGCCTCGGAATGAATGCGTTAAAAATAAGTTATTAATAATTAATGAATTAATTTGGTTCCCAAATATCATTATAAAAAGCGGTTTAACATCTTCTTATGCTTTTCCCTGGAGCTCGAGCTATTTAACGTTTGTGCTTGCATGCATGTTTCAGTGATGATCATCAAAGCTCTAAATCGAGTTACTCTCTGTGCTTGTAATCATTACCTATTCTTCCAGGGCAGTCTCCATGCTGTGCGAGTGACTCTCGCCTGATGGGTACGGAAACGCGGGCCAAATACAGCTTGGGAATCTCCAAATTTCCTCCTGAGACTTCTTACCATACTTACCACGTACGTTGATTCCCTACCATATCTGCCTTTGCTAACATGTTCCTTCATAGGAAAGAAGCCTATCCTTGAGGTTTACTACCTTACTAGTCCTTTTTCTCTTTCTCGGGCCTCACATCTCCATCCAGTTTGTTCTCCTCCTCTTCCTTCTCCTCCTTCTTTTGATCCTCATCCTCTTGATCCTCCTCCTTCTCAGCTTGGATCCCTAGATGCCTTACTTTCCAAATATTCCAGACCCGAGATGCAATCAGTATATCATCATCCTGAATCCTTCTATTTCTTTCGACACAGTCTTTGATACTATGATGTGGAGGCATGTCGATATTGAAATATTGTACGGTTTGCGTAATTGATTTGCGGGGCCATTTAGGCTTTAATTATTCTTCATATTATTCAAGCCCCCGGCTTGACACTCAACACTCCACTGAACCGCCATTTTAAAAACACTTATGAGAGAAGCTTGTATGAAACGCCTTGTACTAGTTGTATGGTGGATTGAAAGACTTTGATAACCGATTGAATCGGCCTAGGGATAACTGATACTTGAAAGACCCACATGGTTTTGTACTTGTATTTCGGAATGCTGGTCAAAACAGTGTGAGTAAATCAAACCCCGCCTCTATTCTCTTCTCACGTAGCTGATGACGAAAGGGTGACAGACTTTATAATATGCTGTCTGTGGATATAGGGCCGTTAATTGTAAATGCACATCACGGCACGGTCCAATCGTAAAATAAAAACCTGATTCAGTGTCCAATATTAATTGCTTAGGATGTTGAGTGATAGTCCCTTACTCTAAAGAAATGAGATTCACGAGAACGCACTGATTTCCCCACATTTTGCATAGGACACGTTTGGCTGTCGCGAAGAGCTGGGGCTACATCTACTGAACTGCATGCCAGCGGTTCCTGACTTCAAAGAAATGCGATGTGCTCTAAATTGACAGAGATTCGCATAGTATTACTTTGCTCCATCCTTCAATTAACATCACTGGATGTATAAATCACCACCCCCCCCCCCCCCCACCCCACAAAGAGACCAACTATTCGTAAAGCCAACAAAGCCACCACTACTTCACTCCCAATAACAACCAATCACCGACCAAAATGTTCAAATTCGTCCCCATTCTCCTTCTCTCTCTCCTCCTCCTCCTCACCTTCACCACCCCCACCACCGCCCTCGAAGGCAGCACCATCTGCGAGACCGGCTGGGGCTCCCCTCCTGCCGCGGACCTAACCTTCCTCGCCAGCGACATCGAAAACCGCATCGTCCCCGGCGGCCGTGGCCCCTGCTTCCAACTCAACGACAGCATCAACGGCCGTCCCGGATGCACCGGATGCTGGGGTCTCGGCCGTGGCCTTCTCCACGTATCGATCTGTGGAATGAAGGGCGCTTTGGTCAACTTCCTCGATATTGCGGCGGCTCTGAGGAGACTGGAGCTCGTGTGCACTGAAACCTTAGATGGCACTAGGAGAACCGGGGGGAAGTGGAAGGTTAAGGGAGGGCAGTTTGAGATCCTTGTGCATGTCTAACACTATGTGCTCAGTGGGACGCCTGGGCTATTCCCCTTAGTTGAGACTGGCAATTGCAATTAAATAGAAATAAATTTAAAATTTTACTAGCCTGTTTTCCATAGGTACCTTTGCTTGGCGTGAAATGTATGCCGTCCACTTTCTGAGTTTCAAAAAACGCGATGTGCATAAAACTGACGGACAGTTGCATAGTATGAGCGCACTCTGCCCCTCCAAAATCACATATTTATAAACAACATTTCCCCGATCTTTCAACTCCCCCCCACCTCGCCCCCCAACCCACAAAAGTACCAACCCTCTATCAACCAATCAAAGTCAAGTCCCTCTCTACTACAATCCCATCAACCACTAAACAGTCGCCCAAAATGTTCAAGTTCCTCCCCGTCCTCCTTCTCGCCATCCTCCTCCTCACTTTCACCACCCCCACCACCGCCATCGAAGGCAACACCATCTGCGAGACCAGTTCCGGCTCTCCCCTCGCCTCCGAGTTGATCGCCGTCGCTAGAGACTTCGAAGACCGTGTCGTCCCCGGCGGCCGCGGCCCGTGCATTCAGGGCAAGTTCAACGACATCAATGGTCGTCCTGGCTGCTCCAAGTGCTGGACCTTGGGCAGTGGACATCTCAGCGTCTCGATCTGCGGAACCAGGAACTCCAGCTACTCTTACGCCGATCTTGCAGCGTCGCTTAGGAGACTTGAGGGTGAGTGCACCAACAGCTTTGGAGGCACTCGCAGGACTGGAGGGAAGTGGAGGGTTCAGGGAGGGCAGTTCGAGATCCTTGTGCATTTTTAAAGGATGTACTCGCTGCTTTGGGGCAATTTCTTTGGCTGTGATTGGGAATGGTATTAAGTAGAGCGAACATTAAAATTTCAATGGTTGCGCCCTAAGATTGTTTTCTCCCGATGGCGATGAAACCCGAGTGATAACGTGTGATCCAAACTCGCAAGTGAAACAAATAACCCGCAAAAAAACCAACGACCCAGCTGGGAGCCAATAGTAAAAAATAGGGCCTTTAGTAGATTAACCATGACTTGTGGGAGTCTCTATCGCTCCAAAAAGCCGGGAGAAACTCAGGGCTGCAGGGGGGTACGGGGCAATAGCAAGAGACGGTACCACCGGGTTGTTAGATGGATCTTGGCCAAAAAAACGGCCACGGAGAACAGAAAGAAAAAGAGTTAGAGGTTGGGTTTGGTTGGAATTGATTTTTCTTCCAACACCTGGAACCAATGGCCAACCAATCAGTACAATGAACTATAGAGATCAACATGATCATACGATGAACAAAGCTAGCAGCCAACCAACCCAGGTACAATCTCTATCAGAGGAAAATCTAATGAGCGTCCGGTAGCTTGCATAATTATCTAGACCGCCTGGTAAGAACAGAGCATAGATTTAATGCACATGCAAATTCACAGCATGCAATACAGCACGAGATACCACTTTAGAACCGAACAGTGATTTGAAAGCCTTCAACAGCTCTCATATAATCAGCTTCTAACAGAATAAAATGGTCAGCTGTGAAAAAACTCGCAACCCGAAACCGCAAGACACTGTGACTTCGAAGCAGACTTACGTTTTACATTCGACACGGGTTTCTAGAGAACCCACACCGCTTTTTTATTCACGATACGATCAAGCTATGTTTCCCCGATCTGAGATTTGGATAAATTAAAAGAAGGTCCGCCCTCTTAGCGAGGTATCTCGCTTATTGCTCAGGGCTCTGATGTTCTAGACTAATACATAAAAGGACACTTGAATAAATGTATCAAGAATCACTAATCAAGATATATCTGGTTTCAACCGTTGTAGGTATTATATGAAAAAAAAAATTGAAAAGGAAAAGGAAACTTACTAGTAGTGTACGCCTCGCAAATTGACCATAGAAAAGACAAAAAAGCGAGTGTCTCGGAGGATGCGTAGATATTATCTGTCCACGAAAGCGTAATTATTCTATATCCCAATCATTCAAGGACATATCTTTATAAACACCCATCCCTTTACACCCTCTATCGCTCATACCTTCCTCTCATCAAACCCACCTAAAGCATAACAAACCAAACGAGTACCTCCAATACTTATCCAACCTCATCTTCCTATACACCCATCCAATTAGCAGCAACACCAAATCGAACACCATGCCCATCAAAGACCTCTTCCGCTCTTCCAAACTTGGCCCCGAAGACGGCACAACCCCAGCCACCATCATCTCCCCCATCGAAGAAGAAATCACCATCCTCTCTGACATCACTCAAGAGCTTGTCAAGACCCTCTCCGCGCCGCCCTCGAGCGAGCAGCCTCTCAGCGTGGACCAGGAGCAGTACCGCTACCTGCAGGAGATGTTCGACAAAGGTGTTTCCAGCCGCAATAAGATCCACCATATGATCGCGGAGGGAGACGTCAACAGGGCAGTGGTGAGAAAGTACGAGGAAGCGAAGAAGGAGTTTGATTATTTGCTCCACGCATATATGCAGGGAAAGACAACGAAGGTGGAGGAGAAGGCAGAGCCGGAGGCGAAGAGCTTGTTGAAGAGGGCGGGAGATAGGTTGAGGAAGATGAAGGGCTCCAAGGGGGCGGATGGAGAGGTCTAGGCATGGGTTTGTGGAGTATGTTGACGACGGGAGGTACTGCATTGTTCCCAGAGAACGAGTATATCAACGACACCCTCAACGTGGTTGTTTCTTTTTGATCGGTTATTATGTGTTCTGTTATTCATTCTTTAATTTCCCTTTGTTTTTGTTTTTTGCTCTCTCAGCTCCACAGCTCTACGTACTTTCAGCGGCATGCAATAATGAGAAATGAATTCAACGTAACCATCCTCTCCATTAGCATTCGCGCAACTCTGTGATCCGATATAATACGTTTTTCAACATAGTCGTGACTCTCCAATGCAATGGGGTTATGAATCTACCACCCCTGTGGCATTTTCCTTAATTATATTCTGCACCAGGTTGCGCCCTATAGACCCAGAAACTACATGTATGGACTTGAGCTCCTGACATATACAGAAGCACCCCGAAATCCTCTAATTTCTCCACAAAAAGCCCATACGCGGAACAAACTAAAGTTTATAGTATGAGATGAAGCAATATGCGTAGAAATGATTAGAGAAAGTATGTAGGAGGAGTAAAGTAATTGATCGTGTTATTGTTCTAGCTAAGGGGGAATGCCCCGTATTTATACTAATGAAAGGTAGTACAAAAGAAATACAATGAGTCATAGACGTGTGAGTAATAAGATGACTAATAGGAAAGTGAGTCATACGCCGATGACAAATACTATAATGAAATGATGAGAATCTTCCAGAACTATGAAACGTGTCGAGCGTCCTATTTCAAGACTTCCCCTCGTGAGCCACAGTGAATAGTAGAAGAAAATAAAACATGTTTGCCTTTATCCAATCCTTTAGTAAGTAAATCCGCCACGTTCTCGTTCGTAGAAATATATTCCAGTTCAAATAATTCATCCTCAAACCGTTCCCGAACAAAATGAAAATGTACGTCAATATGTTTAGACCTTTTATGAAAGACAGGATTTTTAACCAAGGAGAGAGAACCGTTGTTATCGCCTCGAAGAATGAAAGAGAGATTTGGTTTTCGTTCCAGCTCGTGGATTGCATTCCTTAACCAGATCAGTTGTCGACTGGTGTCCGAGAGGGCCATGTATTCCGCTTCAGTTGTAGAAGTGGCGACAGATCGTTGCTTATAAGAGCGCCAGGAGATGAGGGCTTCCCCTAGCATGAAGCAGTGGCCGGTGAATGAACGGCGATCGTCGATGTCGGAGGCATAGCTTGCGTCGCTATAGCCGATGAGTGCAGTTGGTCGCGTTTTGGCGTAAAAGAGTGACCAATCGAGGGTACCTTTGAGATAACGGAGGACGCGATGGACTGCAGCTAGATGAGCCTTAGTGGGACAGGAAGAAAATTGCGAGAGCATGGTGACGGTGTAGGCGAGGTCGGGTCTAGTGCCGATGACTGCGTACATGAGTGAACCAATTATCGACTGATAAGTTGTTGGATCGTCGATTTTTTCAGCTTCCGTTCCTTTTTGGAGGTGGACGTTGTTGTCGATAGGTGTTGCCACAGGTCTTGATTCGTCGAAGCCGTATTTGATAAGTACACGCTTGAGATAGGCTTCCTGTGAGAGGATTATGCCTGTTTTTGTATGGATCAAGTGGATTCCGAGTGCCCAGTTGGCTGTACCAGTTTCCGTCATTTCGAATTCAGAGTGGAGGAGGAGGCTGACGCGGTTTTTGCGTTCAACGGACCAGTAGAAGATGAGGATATCGTCTACGTATATTGCTATGACAACTTCCCCTGTTTTGTGTATGAAGACACAAGGGTCGAAGTCTGCTTTTCTGAATCCGATTTTGATTAGCGCTTTTGAGAGGCGGGCATACCATTCCCTTGATGATTGTTTGAGGCCGTAGATGCATTTGATTAGTTTGCATGCTTTGCCGGGAGTGGGGTAGCCTGGAGGAGATTTCATGTAGATTTCTTCCTTAAGTTCGCCGTATAGAAATGCGCTTGTGACGTCCATCTGATCGCATTGACCGCCGGTTTGAAGGCAGCGAGCGAGGAGTAGTCTGATGGATTCGTATCGGGTGACGGGGGCATAGGTTTGATCGAAATCTTGACCAGGTACCTGTGAGAAACCTTTTGCGACTAGTCGGGCTTTGTACCGTATGGGGTTGCCATCGGGCCTGAGTTTGATTTTGTATACCCATTTGCAGTCAACCAGTTTGCGGTGATCCGGTGTGTTGACCAGATTCCATGTGTTATTCCTTGCGAGTGAGTCGAGTTCAACTTTCATGGCATTCTGCCATTTTTCGGAGTCGGGACTGTTAATTGCTTGGTGGTAGTTTGTTGGTTCTGTTAGGGTAGTGTCATGCTGAATGTTGTGTCCGTATCTGACCGGAGGTTTCCGTTCCCGTGCTGGGTGACGTCTCGGTTGATCAGTATCTGTTTCATTATCATCATGCGGGGTACGTTCAGTGGCGGGCCTCGTATAGCCGGCCCCCACTATACTTGCGTGGTCTTCCGAATCAGTGTCGGAGTAATGTTCCATGGTTTCGCGCATTATCTGTTGGTTGATCATGTCGTCGTCGCTTGGGTCGTCGTCGTATGTCCTACGTTGTTTTGGTGTTGACGGACGTGAGGGTGGTTCTTGTTTGATCTCGATTTGTTTTGGTTTAGGGGGTGTATCGGTTTTTGTTTTGACTTCGATTTCTTCCCCTACGGATGTACCTTTAAACCTAAAATGACGAGAGAGAACTACTTTCCTTTGTGATGGTATGTAGACGCGACAGATTTTTTCAGAGTCTCCGTATCCGCAGAATTGTCCCGTTATGGCCCTTGCATCCAGTTTTGTTCCAGCTGGTCGTGCTTCGACGGGTATGTGTATGAACATGGTTTCACCTAAGGATCGGAGATGCCCAATAAAGGGTTTCTTTCCGGTAAGTGCTTCGTATGGTGTCATATTCGGGAGTGATTTGTGCGGGAGGCGATTTTTGACGTGTACCATGGTGTTGATTGCTTCTGCCCATAGATTTTTTGGGAGATTGTGGTCGAGCAAGGCGGATCGTGCCATTGTTGCTATAGTTCTATTAAAGCGTTCTGCTGTTCCATTTGACTCATGGGAGTAAGGTACAGTGAATTCATGCTTTATGCCTTTAGAGGCGAAAAATTGTTGAAGGTCATTGGAGATGTACTCGCCACCGTTGTCGCTTCGAAACCGTTTAACCGTTTTGTCCAATTGATTTTCCATGTATGCGATGTATCGTTCTGTGGCAGCTGCTGCATCTGACTTCTTTTTGAGGAAGTAGAGGTGAGCGTACCTGGAGTAATCATCGATGAAAGTGATATAGTAACTGAAACCGCCCAGAGAAGGAGTCGAGAACTTGCCGCTCAGATCTGAGTGTATTAGTTCCAGTGGTTGTTTGGATTGTGGTTCGGTGAGGGGAGCGAGGTGAGACTTGGTTGATTTAGCGAGTTCACATGTATTGCATGTTTCCATGTGACCAGATGTGGGGAGAGACTTGGGGTCGGCGACCATGGTGCGAAGCCGTGAGAGCGAGGAAGCGGGGAGATGTCCGAGCCGTTGATGCCAGTCATAGAAGCTGGTGGCGGCAGAGAGGTGTGCGCAGGGTTCCTTGGTTTCAAAAATATATAGACCAGTACTATTTGCGTTAGCGATCCCGATGATTTCCTTGCTATTCGGTTTGTAGATGGTGAAGCCGTCTTCCGTCCCAATTGTTGTGAATCCCTTTTTAGCGATGCAAGACCAAGACATCAGGTTGGTATTGCCTAATTCGGGGATTAGGAATACATTCTGCAGAGTGATCAGGCCATGTGATCCGTTGATGGTGACGTTGCCAATTCCGGTTATCTGGAGTTTGCGACCTCCTCCAACAGTAACTGTTCCAGTATAGGGAGTCGGGTCGGTAACCAGCGTTCCGGTCATGTGGTTGGTGGCACCAGGGTCGAAGATCCACGCCTTGTTATCGGTAGTGGAAGGTCCTGCTATGAAGCCAAAGTAATCTTCCATTGTAATATTCGAGGTGTCATCTGAGAAGTTGGTGAAGTCGAAGTCAACCGGCATTGTGAATACATCGGTTTCTTCGAGTGCGGGAAGGCCAGAAAGATCGGGGATCCAAGAGAGGTCAAGTTTTGTGTGAAATGCAGTACCGGACGCGACGTTGAGATTGCCAGATGCAGCGGACTTCTCCTTGTCTCTGAAAGCTTTGAGTTTCCGGCAATTTTTGTGCGTGTGGCCTTTTGCATATTCTCCATTCTTGGTGCACCAGGTGCATGTGACGTCCCGATTTCCTGTTTCGTTGTTACGTGGCTTCCTGACTCTGTTGCTGTTTCCATGTCCTGGGTTTCCTCGCCTGATTGTGTAGGCTTCTCCAGCCGCCTGTCCATCGTTGTTGCGCCGTGAGTCCAGATCCAACAGCTTTTCGTAGACGTCATCGAAGGTGACGTTGGGCTTGGTTTGCAGGTTGTCAACGACTGATTCGAGGGATTCGTGCCGGAGTGAGAGGAGTAGGAAGGATGCCTTCGCTTCTGAGACAGATGCGAGTTGGTGAAGGTGGTAACCGAGTGGGTCTTTGGTCTTGTCCGTAGAGTTACTAGTTCTAGTGAGGAGAGATGACCAAAGAGTGTTGAACTGGGTTAGATGTTCCTTGATACCCTTGTCGGGTGTGTACTGTAGTGTGACGACATTGGCGAGGAGCGAGTGGAGGGAGGCGACGGTTTTCCGATCGAATCTGTCCTCGAGTTGAGTCCAGAGGTGGTGAGCGGTGTCGGCCGGTGTCAGCGTGAGAATAACTTCAAATTCGATGTTAGATTGGAGGAATACGACCGCGAGGTTATCCTTTTTGTCCCAATCGCTGATTTCTTCGGCATTGTCAGAGGTTTCTTCTTCGTCTTCTTCAGCCTCAGCTGTACTTCCTGATGCTTATGGTGCCGTGGTGGGTACAGTAGTGGTGGTTGTCAACACGGGACGCTTGCTCGAACCATTGACCAAGTTCCACAGATCGTGAACTTTCAACATGCGGGTAGCAAGGTCCCTCCATACAGTGTAATGGCCTT